TCAGGCATTTTCCTTGATTAACTTTCTAAAATTTTCATTACAACAGAACAATAAAGCAACACCTTACTTTCTTCCAGAACTTCTTAGACATAGAAACTGCAAAATATGATCAAAACATCTTGTTACTTACTTGGGAGCTGGATAGCGACTATAGAAAAAGCCTTTGTTATCATGAGTCCAGTTAATAGAGGAAAACTTGACCTGCAACAACAAAAGATGCATATTACAGTAACTCTCATTCTCATCAAAGGACTCTCCATCCAGTTTATGCAGCAGAAGAAAGTAACTCACCCATGATAAAGTATCAGGCTCAACTGTCTTATCCTCAACGTGCATTAATTTGATGGTTACCCAATCACTGCCACTTGAACTAAGCCCATATGCCAAGTACCTTCCATCCTCGCTAACAGACATTGTGTTCAAGGACACAGTTCCATCTTCACTAAGTGTATTGGGATCAAGCAAAACCTCTGGTTCTCCATCCAAATTGCCCTGAACATGATTGCCAAGAAAAAAGTTCAGAAAGGAAAAAAAAACCAACACATGAATCCTCTAAAGTCTAGTCAGATTAAAGACCGTTTAACATATAATTTTTGTTTTTTTTTTCCAAACGAACCTGCACATATATAACGTCTTGCGCTTGTAGTCCAGAGTTATGAGAGTAGAAATACTTATTGCCTCGTTTATATGGAGCACCATAACGTGGATGATCAAAGAGCTTTGTAACTCTCTCACGAATTTGCTCTCGAGTATTACATTTTTTAAGCACTGATTCACACAATTCAACCTGTTTCTGCACAAACTCCTTTGTTTCTGCAGAATCAGGATCTTCAAGCCTAAAATGAAAGAAAAAAAAATGAAGAGGGAAAAATCAGCTAAATGAACATTTTCTTGGCAACCAAACAGATAAAGACATTCCTATTAACAACAATTAACCTCAATCAGAATAATCTAGAACAATCAAGTTCAATAAAATAGAAGAAGAATAACAACAATAACAATAACAACAACTGCTTTCAAATTCAGGCACAGGTATCGATCAAAACATATAGATTAGATCTCCACCAAAACAGAGAATTCACAAACGCTTGGTTCAGTCACGAGAAGCAATTCAGGCACAGGTATAGGTAAAAACTTAACGATTAGATCTCCACCGAAACAGAGAATTCGTAAATGCTCGATTCAGTCACGAAATGCAACTTACTCCTAATAGAATAATAAAGAGCAATTAAATTCAATCAAGAACAACGAAGAAAATCGATTTTGAGTTGAAAACGCAACTACCCGTCAAAAAATCTCCATTAAAACAGATAAGACGCAAATGCGAGTTCCAATACCATCGGTAAGGATCGGAAATCTTGACGCCGTGATAGTCGTCGACAACGGACTCGTCTCTCCGAGCAATCGGATATTGCAGCGGCTGATCCAAGGCAGAAAGCGATCCCATGAATCTAGCTTTTGAGGATTTTTGGTTGCTGTGGATTTGACTCTGTTTGGCTGAAAATCTAGGCGAAGGAGCGCTTATAAATACAGGGGGAAGGAAAGGGAGGCATTCGAAAAGGCGCCTAAAGCGGAGAGAATCGAGAACATGAGGCGTCCGCTTAGAGGTCATTTTTTGGGTAATAAAGGAAATTTCAACGCCAGTTGTTCGGAGTTTGTCGCGCCCTTAGTTTTGGGGAAGTTGTTTTGGGATGTAATATGGCGTTAGTGTGTCGCCATTTTGTGTTATTATGTTGCCATGATTCTTTGGAGTTTTTTGGGTCCATTAACCCTGCTTTTCTAAACTGAACTTTCAACTAGGTTTCTCGGATTCTTTGGCATCTTTAGGTTTTATTAGACAACATTTTTCAGATGCTTTATTTATTTATTTATATTTTAAAAATATATAAAATATTAATTAAAATAAATATTAAATATATAAAATATATTTTATATATTTTTAAAATATTAAAAAAATAAAAATTTACATATATAACTTTACTTAGCCTTTAAGTTCTTTAATCCGACTTTTCTAAACTGAACTTTCAACGAGGTTTCTCAGATTGTTTGCATTTGTAGGCTTCATTAGACAACATTTTTCATATGCTTTTATTTATATATTTTTATTTTTTACTTTTTCGTACATTGTTCAGTGACTTTCTATAGTCCCGCTTTGTAGTGTCTCTGTCTCGTACATTGCTCTGCGACCTCGATGGTTCCACTTTGTACCTACTATATTAGCTTTGTCAATTTGAATTCAGAAGATCTGTCTGAGGCAGCGGGAAGAGTTCCCAAGCGGGTCCAAGTCTGCTGTTGAATGGCTGATTGAAGAGCCAGCTCTATCTAAATGATTCTTTCCCGGCATTATGAATAAAAGGAATCACTCTTCCCTGTCCTAGGTGTGGACGAAGACTTCTCTAAGATCCGATTCGATGGCTCTGACAAGACCTCTTATATTGTTCTTAGCCT